TCTTCTTCTTTGACCCCATTATCGAAAAGCTCCCGCACTCGCATCAGTCGATCAGCAGCAACTGGTTCATCTCACTATTCATACTACATTTACTCTGCACTCTACGCAATCTTGTCGATCGCTACTGCAGTTACGCATACCACAGCCTACACGCAAAACAGCTGGGATTCGAAAACATCAAGAGAATCTATCCTGTTCAAGTATGGGTACCGCCTGCTCAACTTGGTGACAACATCTTGGTTCGTCGTCTTGGGTATCATCACCGATGTCCTTTTCGTCGGTGTCCTCAGATCTTTAATCTGGGGCAGAGTACGAGGGAAACTCGAGCGAGTGAAAGGATTCTACAACTACTGGATCTCTTTGTCCATGGGTGAGTTTTGAATTTCAAATACCAAACGATTTTTTCCAACTAACATTTCTCTATGATGTATATCAGAACTCTTCCTCTACCTCCTCTTCATCGCTACACTCCTCTGGTCCCTCGACAACAGCGACGTCACCTCCTCCTTCTACATCGAACAAGCACTGATCTCCACAATGACCCTCAATGGACTGCACCTCATTCATGCTTTGACAGGCGATCAGGGGAGTGGACAACGAGCTGATGTGGAGCCTGCTGACTTACCCGTCATAGCTCAGCTAGGCGAACACAAAGGGGAAAAGGGCGGGAGCATGCACCGAAAACGAATCCAACCATCATTATCCACCGATCTCCGACCCACCAGCATCATTAAAGCACCCGAACCTTCCTACACCCCTCCTTCAAACCCCTTGAATTTGGCATTCAGTGTCATTCCTCAACCACCAGCTCCACCTCCAAATACCCAAATCTCATCAATTTCTACAGCAAGTCTCACTTCCTTTGCCTTAGTATCCGAATCAAGAGAAGTCGGGGTGGACGCATGCACGCAGACAGGGTACCTTTTACCTCTCGCCTCATCCTCCTCTGACGACGATAACAAAGACTCTTCGAACGAGGTGGAAAATGCACTTCGATCCGCTTTGGGGTCCCTCTTTTCTGCGACGTCTGCTCGAGCTTCACATACGCCCACAAACACGCGTGCGGATCTAGAAGCTGGTCTAGAAGTTGGAGTTGAGAAGACAGACGGGTCGGAGGGTGTGGAAAACTTGTTGAGGCTTGCGCTTGCAGACGTTGTTCAAATATCGTCGGCGCCGTCCGGTGGTTTCGGTGGAGGTACACCCACAAACACTCGAACGGATTATTTGGATTTTGGTGATGAAGATCAAGGGATGGTTTCGAGGCAGGCGAGTGCAAAGACGTTTGATAGTGAGGGTGGAATGGAGCATGCACTGCGCCTTGCGCTTTCGAATGTTTTGCAGATGGAGATGACGGGTGTACAGCGGAACAATACTCGAACGGATGATGTAGAGTTTGGTGCTGAGGAGAGTGGAACGGTGTCGAGGCATGCGACTTCAGCTAGTGCAAAGACTTTTGAGGGTGGGATGGAGCATGCTCTTCGACTGGCGCTTTCGAATGTGCTTCAGCCACAGATGACGGGTGTACAGCGCAACAACACTCGAACGGACGCTGACTTTCAACTTGAAGATCCAACAACACCTACCACGGAAACCGTCTCGCGCCAACACTCGACAATGACACACACCACGTCGTCTTCCATCTCATCAGGTCTCGAAAACGCGCTCCGGCTGGCGCTGGTGGATGTCCTTCAACCCCACACGTCGAATGGAAAGCACACCAACACCCAAACGGACGTCGAGTTTCAAATGGAAGATCCTCAAACGCCCGTCTCCCGCCAGCATTCCACCATGACCCATTCGTCCACCGTCTCTTCAGGTCTGGAACACGCGCTCCGACTAGCGCTGTCGAATGTTCTTCAGCCTCATACAGGAGAGCGGCATACACCCACCAACACTCTGACGGATGCCGAGTTTACAATGGAAACATCTACAACCGCGGTCTCACGTCAGCAGTCTATCGCTACTACGAAAACCACGTCTGCAGGACTCGAAAACGCGCTGCGACTGGCTTTATCGAATGTACTATCGAGTCCGACAGACAAAACACCGAGGCACACACCCACCAATACCCAAACGGATGTCGAGTTCACCATGGAGGGGCCTTTATCTCCTTCTTCAAGTCCACCCGCAGTGACACGTCAACATTCCACCGCGACGCAAAACTCTATCCAATCTTCCACAGCCGGACTCGAGCACGCGCTTCGTCTTGCGCTCTCAAATGTCCTTTCGACACCTGCGCAAGGGTACAGACATACACCCACAAACACTCAAGCCTCGCCCTCACCACCTTGGACAACCACACCTTCCACAACGACACGGACATCCCCAGCCCTTTCGCGACGGACGTCAGCGAATGTAAAGAGTGGTGAACAGGCGTTGAGGTTGGCGCTTTTGGAGGTGGTGGGGCCTGCAGTGGGCGGCGGTGGGATTGGGAGGACGCCGATGAATACGGTGGATGAGAAGGGGGTGGATGGGGATTTTGAGATAGAAGAATAGATCCTATAGAATATTTACTAGAGATGCATCTTTTTATATACATATTATTTCAAGGGATGAACAGGCTTTACTACCATTAGACGACGTTGAGCAAATTATAAGAAATCTAACTCCCTGCCTGCTGCTTCCTGAGTAACATACGCTTGCTGTCGACGTCTGTTGCCGGTATCTGCTGTAATGCAGAGTCCCAACTGTACCGTCGAGGATCCTATTTAGATTATTTATCCATCGCTTGGTCCCTCCCGCGATATTTTTCTTGACCTCTTCAATCTGTAGTGTAATGGAAGCCAAGGAACGCTCCGCGGGAAAATACAACTTATTAGAGAGGTTTCGCAGCGGTTGTGTTTTTTTTGGCATTTGGCAAGCTTTCTTCAAAGCCTTCAAAGGTGCCCTGGAACACGTTGACGAGGGATGCTTGTCAGACCCCAAAGGGATACCTCATTATGGACTCGCTCTCGGACTTCTACCCGCTTGTTGGTGCAGCTACTGATAGCAATCACAAGAGGTCTCATTGTGAGGACGATTTCCTCACAAATGTATGAAAACCGGCAAATAACTAAAAGAAGAGGAAGAGGGGTACTACAAACATAGCACTCCATTACTGTCGCAGAAACGAGTGCGAATATTAGTCAGGGAGATTGGCGCTCGCGTAAACGAATAAAAAGATTGCCTCCGCCGAGATTCGAACTCGGGATCCCCGCATTACAAGTGCGATGCCTTACCGCTTGGCCACAAAGGCTTTTATACTTGATGCGGTATTGATTCGATGTGTGCGGAAGCGTCGTTTAGTAGAGTTTAGTAGAGTCGAGCGCGATGTAGAGGA